CTCATCCCACGCTTCCAGGGAAGCCTCCCGAGAGGGATTCATTCAGCATCCCACCATCGTGTTCACAGGGTTTGCGCACGTCCAGCGCCTCCAATGCGCCAGTTTGCCGTGCTACTTCGCATGGTCTGCGCTCGCCCCACATCCCCCAATATGTACCCCGAGAAGAGTGAATGTTGCATTGTACCATCGTATGTCACAGGTTTCGTGCGCATCAAGCTCTGCCAGGGTGGTCCCCCGAAAGAATCCAATGCACCAGTTCACCGTGCCATTCTACGGCTTCGATTAATCGACATCCCCGAAGAGGCGCCCCAAGAGAGATGAATCTAGCATTCCACCATAGTATGTCACAGGGTTCGCGAACCTGTCACAAACAAACGCCTCCCAATGTACCACTTCACAATCGTATGTCACATGTTCTGTGATCATGGAAATTCCCCATGGAGGCGCTCCGAGAGGGGCCACTGTACAGCTCCACTATCATAGTTCACGAGAGTTGCGCTCTGCCCGCATGTCCAGGCAGGCACTCCAGACGGATCATGGAAGCTCCATAGTGGAGGCCCTCGAAAACCGATCCACGCATCCGAACGCCGATCTCCCCAGCCCGAGAATTCCGATTCGACACAGATACACCATGACAACAACAAGAGGCGGGAGACAATAAAACCCACTGAAGCACGCGTGACCACATCCGACACCCGTAGTGGTGCGACGGCATATGACAAGGTATAGGGTATCCAACGCCATCGAGAGCACCGCGACACGCTACATAGCACGCGCTGCTCCGAACATCTTTTTGCACCGGCCAAGATCTCTTGCCCAGTAACCCTCGACACCATGGCAGATGGTAGAACGTCCTGCATCAGTCCTAAACATGAGCCAGGCAGCGTCGCAACCAACCACGTCGAATTGGAGGCACAGACCCAGGGCACATGAGGTCCAGGCAGAGACACGTTCCACATCTTGAAGACACCCCAGTTTTTTTCTTTGGCTGCCGAGGAGGCAGAACGTGCGAAGGAGCGAAAGAAAAACAGGGTCATGCGCAGGTCAGACGTCGCAATAAAACAGGGAGACGTTTTCGACGACATCGGAGGCGACCTCTCAGGCCGTGGCACGGAGGAACAGCTCGCCCGGGCAGTTAAGGACACCGCCATCGAACGCGGCAGTTATCTCGCAGTCTGCGAGCCCCTTCCTGAGCCCTACGCACCAGGGGTCATTGTTGATTACCGCGCCGCGCTCCCAGTGCCCACCTTCCAAGCAACGACCCTGGAGCGCGCCGCAGCCACGGCCCGAGCCAAGGGGCCCGGCGCGGACCTATGCGAGTTGCGGGGGAAAGGCCCGCACCTTGCAGATCGCCGTCCACAGATTATTCGCCGTTTTGGAATTTCGGTTTGGCTATTGGATGTGATCTTGACGACCCTACGGGCCAGCAGTATGTCCTGCAGCGCCTCGGGCCCAACAACGCACAGATTGCCGTTATGGCGCAGTCACGCCGTCGCACTGGTCCGCTCAGTGGCCTCGACCATCGCATCGGCAACGAGACTTGGCGAACGCGGCGCGAGGAAGTTGCGCTGCACATCTCATTGCGCGGACAAGTTGCGACGACGCAGGCGCCTGAGGGGCAGTATTTCTTTGTCGAGCACCGGAACCCCACACCCACATGGCTCAGCACAGCACCGCCGCGGGAACAGGGTTTCGCGCATGCTCGTTGATGCCTTCGCGTTCGACCATTGCTGTCTGGGAACAGAAAGGCCCAAGAGGCCTTCCAGGCCAGAAGCCGTTTCAAGCCATCGCCCATTCGCCGCGCATGGTCGCGCCTTTAAGTTTGAGGCGCGGCGGAAACCACGACCTCGCAGTAATCTGGGGACAGCCAACACATCAACGCACCGCAGGCTTGGCTCTAGCACGTAGCCGAGCGCGTGGTACAAGGCGTCGTCGCGCAAGACATTGCGGCGAAGAGCTCAGTCACACTCATGAGCGAGCTCTACCCAGCCATGGAGGACGAGTCAGTTCAAATGCTCTCCAGGAGTTCGAACGACTGGAAGAAGCCGAAGAACCACCACCTCCAGCACTAGCACCAGCACCCACACCAGCACAATCAGGAAAGTCGCGAGCCCGACCCGAAGCGTCTGGGGCCTGGGGCTGGGGCCCCGACGCGAGCATCAGGCGCGCAGACATCTGCCACCACGCCAGCTGCCAAAAGAGGCAGCCGCCGCACCACATGTTAAAATCTACGTGGAATATCGTGGCCGCCGCGGCAATCGCTCTGTAGCCTAGACCCACGGCGTTTCAAAGTCCTCGGACAGTGAGAAATTTCACAAAGGCATTGAATCACCATGCTCATGTCCAGGATGTGCGCGCGACGCGCCACGAGACCGAGCGCGCCCTGACCACGATGGGCGACCATGAGAACGCCGCCAGTTGGATGAACCATGCAGGGCTGTCCAAGAGCTGCGCCCGCCAACGCTGATCCTTTCCCCGCGACGCACGTGCGCAGCAGTCTCAAGATCCCGCGGCAGGAGTTCTGGATTCACAGGTGAGTCTTGACGCTTGTGGGCCTTCTCCTGATCGAGAAACCATCGACGACGCAGCATTCCCAGCGCCTATGCGTGACGACCTTCGACGATGACGAGCCGCCGCCGCTGCCCGACCCCGCGGCGCCCCTAGCCGCGAGGGCCTCTCGAACACACCAATTGTTGTGGACGAAGCAGCGGGTCATGCGCCAGAGGTTTGGACAAGCTACGACGTCACTCAGAGTTTGCGCATGTCACAGTACGGCGATGCATCGCAGATACGGCACGATATGTGCAAAGTGCATCTACGCTGGCGGCACGCTAGGCGAACTCAAAGGGAAAAGATCCCGCTAGCATCCCGATGCCCGACCAACGTCATACAGGTGATCGCCGGCGCGATAGACACATGCCGCGAATGCCGGGCCAAGGCGAGCAACGCGTCGCAGATCACACCGACGGTCGAGCGGGTTACACCTGTCAGTCAGGAAGTACAAGAGGGTCCCCCTGCTATCGCCAGTATCCGAGCTGGCACACGATCAACCGACCGGTGGCACTTAGCACGGCTGCTCGAGCGAGATTCCAGCGACTTTGGGCATCGATCTTCTGAGCACTTTGTTGCTGATGGCCAGCGCGGCCTTCTTGGAGCCGAAGCTCAGTCCTCCGATCAGCACGCCCGAATGATCGAACGACTCGGTGATATTCTTACGACCGGCTATGCACTGTATGGGCGAACGTCTAGAGCGTGAGGGACTATAAGTAGGTATGCCCGCCAGGTTCAGTCGACAACCGCGGATATTGCCAGACACGTGGGTTTTCCCAGGCGGCGCGGCCAGAGTGACACGCAACTCGCTCCGTCTACTAAAGATTGCCCTGCAACAGGTCGTGGAGGCTTCGGCCATCTCACGTACCACTCGCGCTTCGCAAATACAGACCACAGTCCCAGGACAGACCCTGGACCACAAGCCAGGCGATTTGGTTGACTTCTACGGAGTACCGTCCACCAAGTATGTGAGCTGGTGGAGCGGACCAGCCGCCGTTTTCAAATTGAACGCACAGCATCGCGCGTCAGGTCGTGTCCGTGTCCGAGTCTGGGGCTAATGGCGCGCGAAAAAGTCAGGCCCCACACTGTAATTTATATTGGGTCGTGGCCCTGGGAGCGCGGACGCAGCTTAATTTGCTAGGGATCGTGGCCCTCGGGGGGCTGACACAGCGTAATTTAGTGGGGAACGTGGCCCTGGGAGCGCGGATGCAGTTTAAGTTGCTAAGGATCGTGGCCCTTGGGGAGCTGACGCAGCGTAATTTAGCGGGGAACGAGGCGTTGGGAGCGCGGACGCAGCGTAATTCACCAGGGAGCGCCCTGATAGAGCGGGCGCAGCGTAGTTTACAAAGGATCGTGGCCCAGGGAGACCGGACGCAGCGTAAAATACAAAAGATTGTGGCCCTGGGAGCGCAGACGCAGCGTAGTTTACAAGGGGTCGTGGCCCAGGGAGACTGGACGCAGCGCAACGTACAAGGGATCGTGGCCCTGGGAGCGCGGACGCTGCGTAGTTTACGAGGGATCGTGGCCATGGGTCAGGACGTCCCGCGGCACGTTCCCTGACGCGTTCCCTGGCGTTTCCTGGCGCATTCCGTGGCGCGTCCCGTGGCGAGTCCCCTTGGCACGTCGTGCGGCGCATCCCCTGGCACGTCCGTTGGCACGTTCTGTAGCGCGTCCCCTTGGCACGTCCCGCGGTGCGTCCCCGTGGCACGTCCCCTGGCACGTCCCCTGGCGCGTCCCTTGGGACGTTCCGCGGCACGTCCCCCTGGCGTGTCCCCTTGTCAATGATCTATGGGGCAGCTACTATGTGCGCAGGCAGTTCGAGCTTAAGATCCAGATCAGTTCGGCCAGGACTCGGATGCCGAGAGGGGGACTGGATCCACAATGCTATAGAGCACAATCGTGGCATGGCACATCGCAATTCAGCACGGCGCATCACAGCACAGCCCTTGGCACGGTACATCAAGATCGATACATTCAGCAATTGCCATGCTTTACAATTCTAAATTCATTTCTGGGTTCGTGGGTCGATGATGTTCTGTATGCTGAAACTTCCGAGCAACCGCAGAGTGACCACCTACTCATCACGCAGCCGTTTGACAATATGATTGCCGTAATCAGCATTCCGTCGCATGTCGCCCAATCTGATGACCAGCGTAGAAGAGGAACGTTGCATGGCATAAGAACAAGTAGTAGCGCAATCAATACGAGGACCGCCACCAAATAACGAGGATGGTAGAAACGACATGGACGGGGGCGAGAAGCAGACTTGGAATAATTCACCCCAACAGTGCAACCGCCAATGTTCTCCCAGGGAGCACGGCCGCGCTTGTTAACCAAAGGGGTACGTGGCCTTGTGGCTCAACGGTTGGATCAAGTCGCACGTTTCTCAGGAGTGACATCTGTTTCCCGCAGAGCACAACTCATCCACTGTGCACACTTGTCTGTCCGCGATGGCTGTGGCAGGGCTGCCGGAGGACCACAAGCCCGCCTGCGGCACCGATACGTCCGTGGGCATGCTATCGCTGAAGACATCGACTGGCGTCAAGCCCGCCCACCGTGTCTTCTTGGAGAATTGGCAGGCGGCGCTCACCGTGGCGATGGTCAGCGTGCCGCTTTCGATCTCGCTCGGCATCGCGTCGGTGGCTGGCGCAGACCCCGCAGCGCCGACGATGGGTGTTGCCACCGCCTTCTGGGGAGGCATATGCGCAGGACTATTTGGCTCCAGCGACCACAACATCGTCGGGCCCGCTGGCGCCCTGAGCGGCATGCTTACCACTTACACGATCAAGTACAACGGCATCGGGGTCTTGCCGTACCTGTCCCTCCTTTCGGCCTGTATGATCCTCGTCATCTACATGCTGAACCTTCAGCGCTACTTGCTTCTGATGCCCACGGCCGTCTTCGAGGGCTTCACCCTGGCCGTCGCTCTCATCATTGGTCTAAACCAGCTGAACATGGCGTTCGACTTGCAGCCGGTAGGCCCCAAGCATGAGCACTTTTACGAGAACGTCATCGAGTCCCTTAAGATTTTGGATGAGATGAGCTGGGCGCCAGCCATCACTTTCGTGCTCCTCACGGTGCTGCTCCTCTCTCTCGTGAAGTGGGTCCCGAAGGTCAAGGGGCAGCCGATCCCGTGGACGGTGATCATCCCGCTCCTGACGATCATCCTGGGCTTCCTCTCCGACTCAGACAACCTCGGCGGCATCCGCATCCCGACGCTCAAGGACAAGTACGGAGAGCTTAAAGCGAGGGTCGTCGTCCCCCCGGAGCAGTCTCTAGAATTTTACGCGCAGGGCAACTACTTCGGCATCTTCACTGCGGCCTTCGGAATCGCCTTCGTGGCCGTGCTCGAGACGCTGATCTCGGCCAAGATCGCCGAGCAGAAGACGGGCTGGGGCTTTGATGACAGCCGCGAGACGCTCGGTATCATGATCTGTCACGCGGTCTGCGGTGCGGTAGGCGCCATGCCTCCCACTGGCGTCTTTGTGAGGACGGCCCTGAATTTTTCGCTGGGTGCCACCCACAGGATGTCGCAGGTCATCAACGCTCTCACGGTGCTCATAATCTCCGTGGTTGCCATGCCCGTCTTCTCGTACTTGCCGCAGTGCTCGGTGGCGGCGCTTCTCATCTTCGCCTCCGTCCGCATGGCCCCCGTCCGCTACATGGTCAACCTCTGGAAGACGGACCAGGGCGGGCTCGGCCTTCTGGTGTTCACCTGCTTGATCTGCGTCTTCACGGACCCTGTCTACGGCCTGATTCTGGGCATGGTCTTCGCCTTGCTTCGTGACGCCTCCCAGACGGCGCTGGCCGAGTCCCGCTTGTCGCTCTACCTAGGGGAGGCCGACGAGGAGAACCAGGTGAGGCAGGGGGGCGATGAGCATCCAGGCATGACCTCGAGCACTGTGGGTGAGAAGCAGATCGCGTGCAGCAAGCCGAGCGATCAGCACTCGAGCGTGACCCCGAGCAGGGCGTGCGCGACGGCAACCTGCACGGTCGAGGTGGACCACCATGACCCGCGGCTGTCGCTGAGGCCGTCGCCCGTGGCGGCGATCCTGGGGTCGCTGGCAGAGTCCGCGAGGAGAAGCCAGCGGGTGCATCATTGCGATGGGAACGTCCTTGAGAGGGCCAGCGAGTGCGTCGTGGTGTACGAGCCGGTTGGCCCCCTCGTCTATCTGACCCAGGAGAAGCACCAGGCGCGCCTGAAGGTCCTGCTCGAGCGCCAGCCCAAGGCCATCGTGGCATCCCTGGACCTGACGTCCCGCGTCGACAAGGACGGCTCGGACGCCCTGGGCAAGACCGCGAAGCAGATCGCGGAGAAGGGCGTGCGTGTGGAGCTGTGCCTGCCGACTGCCCTCGAGAGCACCGTTGTGGGCAATGCCGCCTGGGTCGATGGGCTCCGGGCCGCCAGTCATGTGCATCGTCACCGCCTCGACGCGTTGCGCGCAGCCAAGGCCGCCACGAGCTCGTCGGAGGCGTCGACGCTGCCGGCCGCACAGGCCGACCTTCGCTAGTCTTCTCATCCAGTCGCGCCGAGGTCGTTGAGGGTGGCGTGGGCAGTGTCGCAGAGCCAAGCGGACGTCCAGGCGAAGCGGGCGGCGCGAGGGCCGAGCCTGCAAGTGGAGCAGCAGGCTCGCGTCGCTGCGACGCGCTGCTGCGCGTTGGTTCACTCTTTTGGGGCTTGCGGGCGCTGTCCCGTGCTGCCCGAGCCGGCGAACAGGCCGGAGGCTCGCCGGGCGTTTAGCCTTGGTCTGGCCGCACAGGGCGTGTCTGCCCCGCCTCCAGTCACCCAGTCAGCAGGCACGCGACCTGGACTCGCTCGTGGGAGGGAGGGAGGCAGGGACGGGGGGGGAGGGAGGGAGGGAGGGAGGGCGGGTGGGGGGAGGGGGGGGGGGGAGGGAGGGGGGGCGGGAGGGAGGAGGGAAGGGAGGGGGGCCGCGAACGTTCTTCCAGCCGTCGTGCTGCTGCTGGGTAGCAGCGTCAGGTTTTTTGTTCCTCCTCGGCTAGCGTCGTGCAGAGCGTTTGCGATACCTCTGCCGTCATCGTTTTGCCAGGCAGGTGCGTTTCAGGATATGCGGGATCTCTTCTCCGCGAGTCCTTGTTGGTGAAAGACCTTCACCAAAAGACCAAAACGGTCTCAAGGAGTTTTTGTGCGCGGTTTGTGCAGGCGGCCTTCCGCCCTTTCTCTTCGCCATGCGCCTCTCGCTATCCTGTTCTAGCATCGGGCTCACAAATTATCAGCTGAGCATGTCAAGAGGTATGCGTAACGGTTTCACGCTCGCCTCTCTTAGTTGCATTGCCGTGCTGGTGTCCGAATTTGCCACCTTGCCAGAGCCAGAGAAACACGCAAGAGGCAAACGCACGAAACGAGTAACATCCAAAGACCTCATCTTAAAATACGTCGGAATGTGTGACCGAGGGCGGTCGGTGTGCAGGACCCCGATCTATTCACGCATACGAGCATTCATCCCATGGCTCGTCCTGCCAGCATACATAGTTAAAGGTGTGGCCAGTGGGGATCCAAGCATACACAACATGTGCGGGCGCGGCCTTCTTGGAGCCGAAGCTCAGTCCTCCGATCAGCACGCCCGAATGATCGAACGACTCGGTGATATTCTTACGACCGGCGATGCATTGTATGGACGAACATCTAGAGCGTGAGGGACTATGAGTAGGTATGCCCGCCAGGTTCAGTCGACAACCACGGATATTGCTAGACCTTTGGGTTTTCCCAGGCGGCACGGCCAGCGTGACACGCAACTCGCTCCGTCTACGAAATATTGCCCTGCAACAGGTCGTGGAGGCTTCGGCCATCTCACGTGCCACTCGCGCTTCGCAAATACAGACCACAGTCCCAGGACAGACCCTGGACTTCAAGCCAGGCGATTTGGTTGACTTCTATAGAGTACCGTCCACCAAGTATGTGAGCGGGTGGAGCGGGCCAGCCGCCGTCTTCAAATTGAACGCACAGCATCGCGCGTCAGGTCGTGTCCGTGTCCGAGTCTGGGGCGAATGGCGCGCGAAAAAGTCAGGCCCCACACTGTAATTTATATTGGGTCGTGGCCCTGGGAGCGCGGATGCAGCTTAATTTGCCAGGGATCGTGGCCCTCGGGGGGCTGACACAGCGTAATTTAGTGGGGAACGTGGCCCTTGGGGGGCTGACACAGCGTAATTTAGCGGGGAACGTGGCCCTGGGAGCGCGGACACAGCGTCATTCACCAGGGAGCGCCCTGAGAGAGCGGACGCAGCGTAGTTTACAAAGGATCGTGGCCAGGGAGACCGGACGCAGCGTAGAATACAAGGGATCGTGGCCCTGGGAGCGCGGACGCAGAGTAGTTTACGAGGGATCGTGGCCCAGGGAGAGCGGACCCAGCGCAACGTACAAGGGATCGTGGCCCTGGGAGCGCGGACGCTGCGTAATTTACGAGGGATCGTGGCCATGGGTCAGGCCGTCCCGCGGCACGTTCCCTGACGCGTTCCCTGGCACGTTCCCTGGCGCGTCGCCTGGCACGTTCCCTGGCGCATTCAGTGGCGCGTCCCGTGGCGAGTCCCCTTGGCACGTCGTGCGGCGCATCCCCTGGCACGTCCGTTGGCACGTTCTGTAGCGCGTCCCCTTGGCACGTCCCGCGGTGCGTCCCCGTGGCACGTCCCCTGGCACGTCCCCTGGCGCGTCCCTTGGGACGTTCCGCGGCACGTCCCCCTGGCGTGTCCCCTTGTCAATGATCTCTGGGGCAGCTACTATGTGCGCAGGCAGTTCGAGCTTAAGATCCAGATCAGTTCGACCAGGACTCGGATGCAGAGAGGGGGACTCGATCCACAATGCTATAGAGCACAGTCGTGGCATGGCACATCGCAATTCAGCACGGCGCATCACAGCACAGCCCTTGGCACGGTACATCAAGATCGATACATTCAGCAATTGCCATGCTTTACGTTTCTAAATGATTTCTGGGTTCGTGGGTCGATCATGTTTTGTATGCTGAAACTCCCGAGCAACCGCAGAGTGGCCACCTACTCATCACGCAGCCGTTTGACAATCTGATTGCCGTAATCAGCATTCCGTCGCATGTCGCCCAATCTGATGACCAGCGTAGAAAGAGGAACGTTACATGGCATAAGAACAAGTAGTAGCGCAATCAATGCGAGGACCGCCACCAAATAACGAGGATGGTAGAAACGACATGGACGGGGGCGAGAAGCAGACTTGGAATAATTCGCCCCAACAGTGCAACCGCCAATGTTCTCCCAGGGAGCACGGCCGCGCTTGTTAACCAAAGGGGTACTACGTGGCCTTGTGGCTCAACGGTTGGATCAAGTCTCACGTCTCTCAGGAGTGACATCCGTTTCCCGCAGAGCACAATTCATCCACTGTGCACACTTGTCTGTCCGCGATGGCTGTGGCAGGGCTGCCGGAGGACCACAAGCCCGCCTGCGGCACCGATACGTCCGTGGGCATGCTATCGCTGAAGACATCGACTGGCGTCAAGCCCGCCCACCGTGTCTTCTTGGAGAATTGGCAGGCGGCGCTCACCGTGGCGATGGTCAGCGTGCCGCTCTCGATCTCGCTCGGCATCGCGTCGGTGGCTGGCGCAGACCCCGCAGCGCCGACGATGGGTGTTGCCACCGCCTTCTGGGGAGGCATATGTGCAGGACTGTTTGGCTCCAGCGACCACAACATCGTCGGGCCCGCTGGCGCCCTGAGCGGCATGCTTACCACTTACACGATCAAGTACAACGGCATCGGGGTCTTGCCGTACCTGTCCCTCCTTTCGGCCTGTATGATCCTCGTCATCTACATGCTGAACCTTCAGCGCTACTTGCTTCTGATGCCCACGGCCGTCTTCGAGGGCTTCACCCTGGCCGTCGCTCTCATCATTGGTCTAAACCAGCTGAACATGGCGTTCGACTTGCAGCTGGTAGGCCCCAAGCATGAGCACTTTTACGAGAACGTCATCGAGTCCCTTAAGATTTTAGATGAGATGAGCTGGGCGCCAGCCATCACTTTCGTGCTCCTCACAGTGCTGCTCCTCTCTCTCGTGAAGTGGGTCCCGAAGGTCAAGGGGCAGCCGATCCCGTGGACGGTGATCATCCCGCTCCTGACGATCATCCTGGGCTTCCTCTCCGACTCAAACAACCTCGGCGGCATCCGCATCCCGACGCTCAAGGACAAGTACGGAGAGCTTAAAGCGAGGGTCGTCGTCCCCCCGGAGCAGTCTCTAGAATTTTACGCGCAGGGCAACTACTTCGGCATCTTCACTGCGGCCTTCGGCATCGCCTTCGTGGCCGTGCTCGAGACGCTGATCTCGGCCAAGATCGCCGAGCAGAAGACGGGCTGGGGCTTTGATGACAGCCGCGAGACGCTCGGTATCATGATCTGTCACGCGGTCTGCGGTGCGGTAGGCGCCATGCCTCCCACTGGCGTCTTTGTGAGGACGGCCCTGAATTTTTCGCTGGGTGCCACCCACAGGATGTCGCAGGTCATCAACGCTCTCGCGGTGCTCATGATCTCCGTGGTTGCCATGCCCGTCTTCTCGTACTTGCCGCAGTGCTCGGTGGCGGCGCTTCTCATCTTCGCCTCCGTCCGCATGGCCCCCGTCCGCTACATGGTCAACCTCTGGAAGACGGACCAGGGCGGGCTCGGCCTTCTGGTGTTCACCTGCTTGATCTGCGTCTTCACGGACCCTGTCTACGGCCTGATTCTGGGCATGGTCTTCGCCTTGCTTCGTGACGCCTCCCAGACGGCGCTGGCCGAGTCCCGCTTGTCGCTCTACCTAGGGGAGGCCGACGAGGAGAACCAGGTGAGGCAGGGGGGCGATGAGCATCCAGGCATGACCTTGAGCAGGGTGGGTGAGAAGCAGATCGTGTGCAGCAAGCCGAGCGATCAGCACTCGAGCGTGACCCCGAGCAGGGCGTGCGTGACGGCAACCTGCACGGTCGAGGTGGACCACCATGACCCGCGGCTGTCGCTGAGGCCGTCGCCCGTGGCGGCGATCCTGGGGTCGCTGGCAGAGTCCGCGAGGAGAAGCCAGCGGGTGCATCATTGCGATGGGAACGTCCTTGAGAGGGCCAGCGAGTGCGTCGTGGTGTACGAGCCGGTTGGCCCCCTCGTCTATCTGACCCAGGAGAAGCACCAGGCGCGCCTGAAGGTCCTGCTCGAGCGCCAGCCCAAGGCCATCGTGGTATCCCTGGACCTGACGTCCCGCGTCGACAAGGATGGCTCGGACGCCCTGGGCAAGACCGTGAAGCAGATCGCGGAGAAGGGCGTGCGTGTGGAGCTGTGCCTGCCGACTGCCCTCGAGAGCACCGTGGTGGGCAATGCCGCCTGGGTCGATGGGCTCCGGGCCGCCAGTCATGTGCATCGTCACCGCCTCGACGCGTTGCGCGCAGCCAAGGCCGCCACGAGCTCGTCGGAGGCGTCGGCGCTGCCGGCCGCACAGGCCGACCTTCGCTAGTCTTCTCATCCAGTCGCGCCGAGGTCGTTGAGGGTGGCGTGGGCAGTGTCGCAGAGCCAAGCGGACGTCCAGGCGAAGCGGGCGGCACGAGGGCCGAGCCTGCAAGTGGAGCAGCAGGCTCGCGTCGCTGCGACGCGCTGCTGCGCGTTGGTTCACTCTTTTGGGGCTTGCGGGCGCTGTCCCGTGCTGCCCGAGCCGGCGAACAGGCCGGAGGCTCGCCGGGCGTTTAGCCTTGGTCTGGCCGCACAGGGCGTGTCTGCCCCGCCTCCAGACACCCAGTCAGCAGGCACGCGACCTGGACTCGCTCGTGGGAGGGAGGGAGGCAGGGACGGGGGGGGGGGGGGGGAGGGAGGGAGGGCGGGTGGGGGGGGGGGGGGAGGGAGGGGGGGGGGCGGGAGGGAGGGAGGGGGAGGGAGGGAGGCAGGGGGCATCTTTTCCCACGCTAACGTTCTTCCAGCCGTCGTGCTGCTGCTGGGTAGCAGTGTCAGGGGTTTTGTTCCT